CAAAACTCCTTAATTTTTGTGAAAAGAGCTTTTGGAACACAATGACCGAGTTTTGAGAAACTCCTGATATAAGATAGCAAATGTAAAAAGACTGATAACCAATTTTTGCAAGCACGTTACGCTTGAGAGGTTTTTCCGCTCGCTTTTTACCAAACCAAATTTTATTTTTGAGCACGAGTATGCAACGGAGTTTTTGGCAAAGAAATATCTCAAATGATTCTGAAGCTAGGAACGGTTGATGTTAACTGGTTCAGTGCTTACCTGGAGTTTTCAAATCGCAATGGTTCACTTTTGTTCCGTTCAATGGAGAAAACTAAAAGTTACAAAGCAGAAGATAAGAAAAGCTATTGGAACCTGCTGAGATTCAAAGTTTGTGAAAAACATTTTCGCGTTTGCGGTAATAAGAAGTACCCGAAGATCGATGGTACGATGTATTTTTGTGAAAATTTCTTTAGGCATTCAATTTTGAATGCCCTTATGGAGCTCAAAACCAAGCCCACAATCCTTCTGTTTTAAAGCCTCTGTGTTTACCGATCAGAAAAGACCAGACGGTTCGACGCTTGTTCGAGTAGCTGCTGATAGGCAATTCTCAGGGGATGTAACGATAATTGAATCCAAGGTCCTAGAAGGAAAAACGCCGGCTCTGTATGTAAACACGGAACGGCGGCTGATGGGGCGCAAAATCGCGAAACTGATAAAAAGAAATTTAAATTATGGTGAATACGTCAAGCATTTTTTTAGTTTTCTTGTAGTAAATGTTATAAGTGCCCCGGATATTTGCCGCAGCTTTGCATCTAGTCTTTCTAATCGATTGTCTCGATATTGCAATTTTAAAAGAGAGGAGTTTTGTCACTCAACCTTTTCTGATTTCTTAGTTTTGTTGCCCGCGTCACCCAATTTTTCATTCTCCCAATGAATTTTTGGAAAATTTCATATAATATTCTGTCTGACCACTCAGAGTTGCTAATGGACTCCGCCAAGATTTAAAAATTGTGAAAAAAAAGATGCTTTTGTGGAAGATCGAAGTTGGTTGGCGACCAGAATCTTTGGTGTTTTTTGCATTGAAAAAGAAGACACACGAGAAGCTACTAACTGATTTATCGCAGTCGTAACAATATAGTGAGCGGAAAAAACTGATCGACAGTGGGGTCATAAAAATTGAAAAAATCCTAAGCAAAAAATTGCTCTCCATGAAAACAAAAGACGCGATCAGCGAGGCTCTGTACAGTAAGAAAAGATCCACGGGGGCGCAGCTGGCTAGGCGGCAAGAACTAGCAAAAGTACACAAGCACGAGGTACCACTTCGTTCCGTTTTCTTAACCTGGTAGCTCGTCTGACCATCTACACAAAAAACTTGCATAACATCTCGATAAAATTGAAGAAGCAAGATATAAAAGATCATTCAAATGGCCAGGGAGATCTTGGAGAAAACACAATTGGACTCTGATGAGAGTATAGCTTCTCCTGCTGTAAAGTCATTGTTCACTAATGTTCCACTCACGGAGTCTGTTGAAAAAGCCATGAGAAGTTTTTCTGGGCAAAACAACCCTACAAACTTATCTAGCAAAACTATTGAATAACTATTCAATTTGGCTATGAGCAAGGAACCCTTTAATTGTAACGGTTTGTAGTAAATACAAAAATAACGGTTTAAAAATGGACAACTAATTTGTGGCCAAAAGAATATGAACCTGCATCACAGAAGGATGTAACAAAATTAAAGTGCCATATGAAGATAACAACCAACGGATTCTCCTCTGGATCTCAGAAAAAGATAATATGTCAAACTAAGGGGTAAGAAAGCGAAGCCTGCTTGAAATCGTTCCACTTAGGGTGTGGTAACATCTCGAAGACCGTATACGAAAAATTCGCTGAAACATCTGGAACTGCATGACAAGAAAAAATCATTTTGATTTGGAAATTCTGGAGTAGTTCTCGAAGGTGCTGATGAATTGCATTCAAGATTGCAGTTTAAATTTAAAGGGCTGGAAGATAATGTTAGGTCGGCCTTTTTGGATGTAAATTTATACGCGGACTGACGAAAACATTTCAAATATGGGTGGTACCAGGAAATTCATTGATATCGGCTTAGATCTTACTATTAGGGGCTGCACATTTTCGCAATACAAACGAAGTGTTTCTGAAGAGACGGTCCATGGGACCTTCAGAGCTATCTCAACCTGAGAAAAGTTTGTCAAAACATTGAGAAAAGATTTGAAACAATGGAAATAAAATCAATAGCCGGAATCATGGTCACGCTGGGGAGTGTCTGAAACTCTTAGCAAAATCGTTGGGGGAAAGAATAACTTAGGGACTATGGCATCGAAATGGTGGAAAAACATATTCTCTTTTGACAATGCAATTCGAGGCAGTCTATTGCATTTAATGGCTGCAAAATTGCGGCAAATATCCAGGTCACAAATAGTTTTTTTTAGTGGAAGAAAAGCAAACACAAGCTTTTCAACTGTCAAACCTTCCTTTGCAATGGAAATGAGATCCAAAGTGGCGTTTAATTTTATGTTTAGAGGAGTTAACTCCATACCTGTCGGCCCGATAATGCTAAGCTTAGCTACAGGGATTGATGAACATCTCGCAACTAGGGCCTACCTGTAGAACAATTTTTACTAGAAATTGGTAGAAGAGCAGGCAGAACTGATTACCTTAAGTCCAAAATCATAGACCAAACAGCCAACACTTACAAATTACATATTTAGAGGATAGAGGCTCTAAACATTTGAGTCAAAGGCCCAAAATCATCACGAAGGCTAACTCCACAGCCGGAAATAATTTCAAAGTTGTACTTTTGGTTTCAAAATTGCTATAAAGTCAAAAAAGTGAGATGTCTGAATTGAAAATACTTCCGATAAAACAAAACTAACACTGAAAAAAAATGAACAACTCAAAAATGAACAGGAAAATGTGAATAAAGATTCTATGATTTATTATATAATTACAGTTGTATATAATTGTTTTACGTTTTCCAGGTCTTCGATCAATATGCAAAAAATTTACAAATCTTAATCCTGATGATGAACAAAATGTGCAAAAATTTTTGAATTAACTTTTTGAAATCATTATATTATCGTTATTTTATCAACCAATATTTTGAAGTTCAGTGGGACGGCAAACCTCTCACTGAGATTTTTAGAGTAAGGTCTGTAAAAATTTGAGCACATGTACCGAGGAACACAGGGCAGGTAGTTTTCTTGAAGAGAGAGTCTCCTTCGCATTATAGGTTGCAAACGCTGCGTGTTTACTCGACCCTACAATGAGGAAGCTACTTTCACAGAAATATTTTAGGTGTACAGCCTAGGGAACAATTGAGCATCTTAGTAAATGTATCTAAATGAACCGTTTCACTAAACTGTGAAAAATGAGCCGCTTTTTAACTGGGTGAAATGGTTGAAGACTAGTGAAAAAACTTCAGATATCATAAAACTTTCTGATCTTATGATTCACAAAAACAGATCAAAAAAATGAATGTGAAACTTAGAAAAATTAGAAAAAATGTTGAAAATGATATAAAAACCAATTAGATCATATCTGTTGTAAGATTTTGAAACTTGAACTGTTTCCTGTTGAAAAATGAAGAGAACTAAATCAGACTTTATCTACGTAAATTTTGCACAAATAAAACGTTATTTTCAAGTATTTAGCAGTGGTGGCAGAAAAGCATTATTGAAATTTTTATATGAACTTCTATCATAATTTGAGAAAAATGAATGAAAAAACCTCTGACAGGTTTTTTAAAGGATTGGTGTATTATCTATAAAAAAAATTCATATTATTTACCGTATGAAATGCAAGTTTAGTTGAGGGAGTAAAAAAGAACTGATCCGAGGCTTTCGATCTGGCATTTCTCTCTACAAACAGGGGCACTTTTGACGTTCCCAATTTGTATAGAAGTTTTTTTTCATCCACAGTTTGTACTCGCAATTGCAGGTCACATCCAAGATGGCCCAATACATTTGTGTGTAGAAGAAGCATAAAACATCAAACTTTATTTAGCTGAAACAATGGCAATATTAGCAGGTAGTTGCCTTGAAGAAGGCGGTCGTTGTATTTTTTTTTTAACATATCCATTTTGTCAACATAGATTGAAACTTTTTCACTACTTTAGGTCCTGTTTAGTTGCAGAGGAAATGATACATTCATAAGTAAACAGTGGTCAAATAAATGACGTGTACCTTGTTGTTTTCTGATAATATTCAATCGATAGGGAACTTTCTTGCAAATTAAGATAGATTTTTTTTCAATTTCAAAATTTTATCAGCATTGTGCACTGACCAAGATAAGTTTTGGCAAAACTATGTTCGTGGGCCAAGAAACGGGTTGTAAGTAAACGAAATGCCTGAACTTGCGAAAACGAGTATTGGTTATTCTCATATGTTAAGACGTTTTCTCGTAAATCACATGGGGAAAACTATAAAAATTTAAATTTCTTTTTATTTGCATCTGCCCAGCTGTGAAGATTCAAAGATTTAGCATTAGGGATTTTCAACATTAGTATAATAGACAGTTGGAGAAGATATACTCTAAGTAAGCCATCGATGAGAGTTTAAAATAGCATGGGTCACAAAACTGACCCTTTTGGAACGCCACTAATTGTTGTTTGACAAGCCGATAAGATCTCATTTTTAGTACTCTGTGTCTACGTCCTTATAAATATGAGTGAAATAACTTTAGTAGAATTCCTCCTCTGCCAAAAATTCTCACGAGTACAGAGTACAATTCAATTTTAACTCAATGTCTTAAAATATGCGCCTAAATAAAACTAAAAAACTCGTGGCACTAGGATCTCCAATCGTCGACTTTTGCCGTAAAGATTTGCTCGACAAAAAATTAACGAATTGGAAAAATCTTGGATGCCGTTAACAAACTAGACGCCCTTTATGGCTTTCACTGTCTGAAAAATTGCTGCATCATGCGAAAATCTAGTATTTTGCGGAACCCAGGGCAGGCAGTTTTTAAAACAGAAAATCTCTCCGGCTTAGCCTAATTGTTGTGATAAACTTATTAAATAGATATCCTTGAGTTCCTTTAGTAATCGACCTCAAGAAAATACATTCAAATCAAAACAAGCATAGCCGATTGCTGTGCAAAAGCACAGAATTTTGTATCGAGAGCAAATAGAGGGCTGGGACAAAGGTCGGAAAAAAACAAGATCTGATTTGCAGAGGACTGCTTCACATTTGTAACGCACCTAGTTTGCAGCCGATATCAGTAATCAGCATCTTATTGAAAATACTAACGAGTGGGAAACACAAACAACAGAACGAGCCACTGCACACTCTTGACGGAACAGGATTCCCAGGCTTTTAACTGAGATCACGTTCAGACCAGGAAACCCCGTACGCTCTCCCAAGGTGAACTAGCCCCTCTGCCTTTTCTATTCCTTCTCATTACTGGGTTTTTCCTGGGTATACTATATTCGAAGCATGTTTGATGATACCTTGAAGAGCGCCACCCGCGCTTTCAGTGGGAAAGACTATTACCCAACTATCGCCCAGTTGGTTTGGGCGTCGGAAGACGATGTCAACAAAATACTCAACGGTCAACAAAAGTCAAGTCTTACATGCCTCCTTTGCCAGTGCCTCTCACAGCTGAAAGAATCTTTGAACAAAGAGCAAACAATGACAGATATTGTATCTACACTCTCAACTGGGATAGGCGAACTCAAAGCATGCATTCCCAAAATAGAGTCATCAGTTGAAAGAGTCAGAGATGAAGTTGAATCGGTCAGAGCTAATGTGACTGAAATAAAAGCAGCGGAGCGAAGCGCGCCGCCTGTACAAGTACCAACGCAAATTTCGCCCGAGTCGTCTACCGAAACGCACCTCTATCAAATCAGACTTGATGGTCTACCCGAACTTGATAACAAGAACCCAGCGGAAATTATTAAAGCTGAAACAGCAGCAGTTGAACGTGTATTCAACCATTTGTCTGAGCCTCTTACCATATGCAACTTGAAGCGTCTCGGTGCTTACAAAAAAGAACGAAGCCGACCCAGAACTCTTCTCATCACTCTGCCACGTGTCTGGGATGTACGAAAAGTACTCTCGAAAGCCCCAATGCTCAAATCCTACAACGAAAAAGTTTATCTATCGAAAGGACTTGGTGAAATGGAAATTAAAGCTGAGAACGCCGCACTCAAAAGAAGGCGTGAACTCATTAATGAAGGAATTGAATCATCAAGACTCAAAATTCGCCAGTCAAAGCTATACCAAGATTCGAATCTGATACCTCTAACAGTGCAATGACTAAATGATTGTCACAACGCCCTCATCGAATTACTTGTCTTCAACGTCAGAAGTCTGATCTCTATGGAACGCCGGTACGCGTTCTCAAGAGCAGTAGCAGCCACAAAACCGCATGTGCTCGCACTAACTGAAACTTGGTTTACACCTGAGTTTTTGGATAGTGAACTTATGTTAACCGGTTACATTGCCTATCGGCGTGAGCGTGCTAGCAAAAATGGCGTCTCTAAACATGGCGGTGTCTTGATTGCAATATCCAAAGATATCAAGCATGAACATTTGATCATATCTGAATGTTCAGATGTCGAGTACGTTGCTTGTAGACTTTTCACTGCCAAGCAGAACTACATACTAGTGAATGTTTATAACGCGCCTTCTTCAAGTCCATACCGATGGACTTTGGATCACTGGAAGAAACTCCTGGAAGGTATTCAAGCTCTTCGCATGGATAATGAAGTTCTCATTATAGTTGGCGACGCAAACTTATCGACAGTCTGCTGGAACACACTGAATTCCAATGATGATCATGAAAATGATATATTGGTCGAGTTTGACCGCAGAAGCCTTACACAGCTCGTTGATTTCAAAACAACTGCTACTTCCTGTATCGACATAGTTCTCTGCTCATCCGACTCTTGCATCGCTAGCGTGTCTCCGTTTCATGTTTTCAACAATTTGTACAGCGTCAAAAGCCAAAATTGCTCCGACCATATTCCTATCAAGGTCACATTAATTGGGAAGGAATTGGAGTCAACACACGGGCCAAACCATAAATACAGCTTTGCACTTGCTGACTATGGAAAACTCAACTGCCTGATCGCAAACAATCCATTCACTGGCAACTGCAGGTCCAATATCAATGTACTTCTTGAAGAGTGGTATAAATGGTTGGACCACCTTTTAAAACAGTGTGTACCATACAAAACTCAACACCGGAGCTCACTACCTCCATGGATCTCCAGCAGTACCTCGCACCTGATGAAGCAACTGAAGACAATATCTCGCAAGTACGACCGAAAACCAACGGAAAGCATGCTTTGTAAACTAAAGACAATCGAAAGCCAGATAAAAATAGCTGGGGCATCCGACCAAAGCGCATACGAAGAAAAACTTGCTGAAGGGCGAAGTACAAAAAGACTCTTCAAATACTTCAAAAGTCTTCGAGGCAGTGGATCGATACCACCGAAACTTTTCTGGGGTTCAAAATCTGCAGAGTCCCTGAGCGATCAGTGCTGCATGTTTAATGAGTTCTTCCAATCTACTTTCACTTCATCGACTCCCGAAACACCTGGTTCTCAATCCACAGTTGTATCAACTTTCCTGAATGGCTACGAAGTGAGCAGCGCCGCTGTTGGAAAAGTGATGATTTCGCTAGATGTCACAAAATCCCGTGGACCTGATCTACTCCCACCTGTGCTTTTCAAGAACACGCCAACTTTGAGCAAATCTTTACACCAGCTGTTCTTTAAAATACAACAGGTGGGATGTTATCCGGCTAAATGGAAAGAAGGTGCAGTAAGCCCGATCCATAAAAAGGGTTCGAAGCTACATGTAGAGAACTACAGACCCATCACGCTCCTCAGCATTGCCTCGAAGATCCACGAAAAACTGATATTCAATGCTCTCTATCCTCACGTCATTCCACACATAAACTCTTCGCAGTTTGGGTTCACCAAAAATCGCTCACCAGTTTTACAAATGCTCTGCTATCTAGACAATGTCTATCGCAATATCTCCAACACTGACGTAAAAATCGAAGCCGTTTATTTGGACTTTGCGAAAGCATTTGACAAATTAAATCACACTGAGCTTCTGAGAAAACAGAAGATTCTGGGTATCCAAGGAAAGTTACTCAAAGTTCTGCGCAGTTATCTTGATCAACGTAAACAGTTTGTCCAAATTGGAGATGCAAGGTCCGAACTTCTTGATGTAACCAGCGGGGTTCCCCAAGGTTCACTTCTTGGACCATTACTATTCATCATCTATGTAGCTGACTTGCCTCTCAATCTAGTTTCTGAGACATTCATGTTTGCTGATGACACAAAGATATTGTCAAGATCCTAAATTCCAGGTTGCAGGAGAATCTGTCCTCTCTAGAAGAGTGGTGTAGATCAAACTACATGAGCTTCAATGTCGGCAAATGTTCAATTGTTACCTTTTCTAGAACAGAGCCAACCGATCTGGCTCTTTATGGCAAACCGTTAGCTCATTCAAGTTTGGAAAAAGATCTTGGCCTCTTGGTAAGCGACAAGCTGAAGTGGAAAGACCACATAACTGGTGCCTGCAGCAAGTCAAATAGAGTATTAAACTTAATCAAAAGAAATGTTGGCCACCGAGTGAGCACAAAGCATAGAAAGGACCTTTACAAATCAATGGTGATACCAATTCTACTGTACGGATCCACTGCTTGGAGTCCATCGAAAGGTGATCTGCGCCTGATTGAACGCGTCCAAAGACGCGCCACCTACTGGATGCTTAATTATTGTGATGACAATTACTGCGACAGATTGAAAAAACTCAACCTTCTTCCACTATCTCTAAATATTCAAGTGTATGATATTCTTGCTTTCCTCAAACTTATCGGTGCTATGCTAACTCCACATTCCCCTGGTATGATTACACAAGAAGAAGTGAAAACAGAGAGCACCGCACACGAGCTCATACTCGCAGCCTATTTGAACTTCCTGTCATCACAAAAGAAATTCAACGACAGAATTTCTGGTATCGTGCCCCACGCCTCTATAATCTTCTCCGCCGACATATCAACCTCGATGGGAGCAACGTCAAACCGCGTGTTATCAAATTTTTCTGGGACTACTATCACCGCCACTATAACGAACTAGACTCGTGCTCCTGGACTTTTGGCTGCCTGTGTAGCAACTGCCGTTTCCCGCATTCCATAGACTTTTCTTAATATGTTTACGGGCTCTTTCCCTTCAACTTTTGTTGTAAAGCTTCAATAATAATCATAATAATACAGATTGCGAACGCAGCGTGCGTACTCGTCGCAACAAATGACAAAACATTTTTTGACGAATTTTTGTATTTTTAAAACATTATGTATTTTTTTTCTCCCCCCATTGAAAAAACGTAACCCGTATCGAGTTTAATTTTTCCTGTTTTCCAACGAGCTTGAAATTCCAACTGTTTTCCCATTAAAGGGCCAGTATAAAAATTTTTTAATGATTTTCATCAATGTAATGAGAATTTTTATAGTGTTTTTTTTTTATCGATACGTAAAAAATGGCCGATTTTTATTTGAGTTACCGAAATGTTTCATATTGTAGCAGCTAGCTCCCTGTTCCACAGCATCAACACCCTTAACACAGGGGAAAAAAAGCAATACGAGAGCCTTGTTACAGCAATTCCTGGCCTATCCCTTAATAACAACTTGCTGAACCAAGGAAAGAACCTCCGACGACTACTCGAAGACAGTCCACTGAAGGAGAAAAAAGTGGTTTTGTGGCACGACGTGGTGAACAACACCATTAGCAGCCACAGAACAAACAACTATCGCCCAGCTGGTGTCGAGGAGCTGACAAACTATTTGAAGACGAAGAAGCAGCAGATATTGGCGATCGTTTATTGCAGAAGGGAAGGAACGCCCGACTTGTTTAGTCAACTTCTCGGCACAGGGGTGCTCATTATTCCAGCTACAAAACGACTACTCTCCAAGAGCAAGCAAAACAACCCGGAGCAGCTCAAGGAATATTTGAAGCTGCACCAGAGTGCTGATTTGGAGCTGAAATCTCTGCGATTGGTAGTGGCACACAAAGAAAGGCTGTCAGAGCTGATTGGCAATATCAGGGGCAAACAACAGAGACCGTCACAGACAAGGAGGAAGGCGAAAGCAAGACGTGAGCAGAAGCTGAGGGCAGAGGAAGTGTCTGCGCTTCAAAGACAGGGGTGAGAAGAGTGTGATTTGTTTTGCTTTGTGCCTTGTGAGTTTCATTACTCGTGGCCTGCAAAACAATGACCACAGTACTTTTGCCTGCTGTTTGGCTCAGACAAATTTTGAAAAGGAAACTAACTTGGAAAATTGTGTTAGACTATTTAAAATTCTTTAAAAAAGTTCAAGTATCTGTACATAGACTGAAGTTTCTGAGAAAATGTCTGAAAAACGATCTAATACCGGACTTTTTGAAGTTTAGGGTCCCCGAGAACGGGGTTTTTTCGGACCAAGCTGTGCATAATTTTCAATTGAAACTACTAAGGACTGAAACTTCTAGGGCAAATGAGGATAGGAAAAGGTACGAGGAGATGCTAAGGAAAGCGAGATCACTGGTGCAAAAAGAAATTGACAAACAGTGGTGGGCATCCATTTTCCGATTCGTGAGGCGGCAAGTTGAGGCAAGCTTAAAGACAACATCAGAAAACCATAGAAAAAAGTTAGAAAAACTGTCCGAGAGACAAGATAAACCTCTTGGGGGGAGAAATGAGCGATCAGTTAGGGTACTTGATAATATTGAACTGCCTGAATGGGTATATGAAGTGCTATCAATGGGCCCCAAGCATCCAATTAGAGACAAATTTAACGAAACACATTTTTTGGCGGATATCGACATTTTCCTCTCACAATTGAAAAATCAAAAAACATCTGGTGAAACGTTATGTGAAATAGAAGCCGCGGCAAAGGCATATGCAAAAAACGTACGGCAAACCCCAAGAGACAAAGCCGTTGAAAAAACGAGGAAATATCTCAAAGATAATGGGTTGCTGGCTGTGCCTTTTGATAAGGGGGTTGGTTTTTGCATAATGAGGAAACAAACATATGAATCAAAGCTGGAATCCTTGTTGCAATCTGCTCAGTTTGTGAAAAAAGATGCAACCACTGATGAGCTGATACTGAAAATTGAGAAAGAACTTAACAAAGAGTTACTAGCCATGAACAAAAGAGACGAGATAAGTGATCAGTTATATTCTAAGATACGATCAACAGGGGGGCAACCCGCCCGTTTGTACGGTTTAGCTAAGGTACACAAGGATGAGACACCCCTACGACCTGTACTATCACTTCCCGGCAGCTCGTATGAGAATCTTAACAAAATGCTTGCGAAGTTTTTTGACAACATCGATGGAGCAAATATAGAAACCAATACTAAAGAGGCTAGAGAAAAAATAGAAAACATTGCTCTAGATCCGGATGAAACCATAATATCTCTTGATGTGAAAAGTTTGTACACCAACGTTCCCCTGAAGGAGGCAATTGAAATTGCTTTACAGAAGCTGTACAGCCAGGAGTCTCCTCCTGAAATTCAAAGAGCAACCATGAAAAGGCTTTTGAATATGGCGGTCAGCAAAGTATATTTCAAGTGTAATGATTCATGGTATGTACAAGTTGATGGTTTAGCAATGGGAGCGTCCCTCGCTGTAATTCTGGCAAACTTATGGCTGAAAGAATACGAATTTGCTCTACGACAACAAATACCGGTGGGAACGGGGGTACAGCAAATTAATGACAAAAACGGCTTGTGCCCATGTTGCAGCAGGAAAGTCACATATAGATCAAAGGGGGTTGAATGCGAGAGTTGCCGAAACTGGTATCATCTAAAATGCGGAAAAATATCCGATGACGTATACGCATCAATAACCGAGATAGTCTGGTACTGTGAAAGCTGCTGCCGAGCTAAGAACAAGGAGAAGGATACTCCCCAGGTGAAATTGTTCCTCAGGTATGTGGATGACATTGTTAGAACAGTCAGAGGGGAGCCGAGTTGTCTTCTCGATGCCGCCAATTCTCTTCATCCAAATTTGCAGTTCACTCTAGAGAAAACTAATTCGGAGGGGAATTTGCCGTTCCTGGATTTGAACATAAATATATCGCAGGATAGACGTGTAACTTGCAGTTGGTATGAAAAACCAACAGATACAGGGACTATACTGAACTATAGAAGCTGCGCCCCAACTCAGTATGAGCGTAGTGTTATCCAAGGCACTGTACACAGGGTTTTTAGGAGTACATCTAGCTGGGAGCAATTTGATAAGGCTATGGAAACTAATAGGGCGCAATGGCTGACAAATCAGTACCCTGAAAATTGGTCCGCAAAGGTGGCTTCAGACGCCTTGTGCAAGATCATCGAGGGTAAAGGCAAGCCCCTGGATAGTGACAGGGGTTTGTCAGTTCAATCACCAAAGGATGAAAAGCCCCCAATGCTGATGGTGCAATATAGAGGTAACCAGAGCCAATATTTTGCTAACAGGTTACGAAAATTAACGAACGTTCAAGTGGTTTTCACCACAAGAAAACTACAATCATGTTTACCATCACTGAAGTCAGCATTTTCTAATGACCTCAAGTCAAGAGTGGTTTATAAACTGTCATGTAGTGGATGCACTTCCACCTATGTCGGACAAACTGTTCGACATTTGACCACTAGAATTGAGGAACATAGGAAAGCAGACTCACCGGTAGGCCTCCACCTTCAGCAATGCCAACTTGAAGGAAATAGCGCAGATCTTAGTTGGGAAATTATAGATAGGTCAAACAACCAAACAAAATTGCTAACACTAGAGGCAATACATATCAGGAAAGAGAAACCGGGCTTGAACACGCGCGATGAGTTTAGGAGCAGGGAGTTAACACTGAAAATTTAGTCCCAAAATATTTTTGGTTTTTTATTCAAAACGTACATGTCTAAATCGAAATTATGACTCAGAAACTTCCAGACAAATTAATTTTAAAATGTTTAATTAATTTTAGAGGTTAAAAGTATTTTAATCTTAATAGTAATTTAGAGGTCAACTGTGATTGGCTAATTTTTTATCATGATGGTTTAGAACCAAATTGTATGTGATTTATTGTAAATAACATTTGTAAATTGATGTTTTATCGTCATTTAGAGTAGTTTATTGTAAAAATCCTGACGATGCACATAGTTGCGAAAACGTTTGAAATTTACTTTTTAGCAAAAATTTCTTCAGCTGCTTTTTATCGTTATCATTTCCATATCTACAAAGTTTCTAGGATTTTAACTGGAATATGTGATTAAGGGAATCCTGACTGTAACCTCGATTACTATGATACTTTTGACCTTCTGATTACTTCTAAAGGATGAGATAAAAGTTAAGAGAAAAAAACGTACTGAGAAGCGATTAAAAATGTGTTTAGAAAACAGCAATGTGGAAGAAACGCGGCGAGGTCTCGAATGTAAAAAAAGTTGCGTGTTCATAGCTCCCAAAATGAGGAAACAGTCTCATAAGTCCCAAAGCGGTCCTTATTATGCAGCTTGCTTTTAAGCTATTTGAACAAAGGAATGATCATGCTTCTTATCGTCAGCGCAACCTAGTTTCAACCTATCTTAATTCTAAAGGAAAAACTGGCGTTTACACGACAAATTTTTTTTAAATTTAGATCCTTTGAATTTCGGGATCTACGGCATTTAACCCGAAAACATTCGAATCAAAACCATTGCCCAAATGTTCAGATAGGGTTATTTCCCTAATTTTGTATTTTTTAATTAAAGGTAAGAGTGTAGAAAAATTTTTTGAGGGCAAATAAGAAATACGGAGAATTTTGCCCCAATCTGGTTATACAATACCGAAAAAAGCACTCGGATAAAAATTGTTTTTGCCCTCCCTGAAAGCTTTCTATGCGAGTGAACTGCAAACCAGATATGGATGTAATTCCAACTACTTCGACCAAACGGTCCGACAGTTAGCCTCGAGGATTAAGGAACCCCTCTAGGAGGGTGCACCTAAAGAACAGCATTTGCGCGAGTGCGGTAGAGAAGAGGTTGTGCGGAGTTGAAGTGTGGCACTAAACATTAATCGAGGAACGCCTATAAACTGCTCAAACTAGAACTATTGCGCGTTTGAAGGAAAAGGATCAGGTTATAGGTTCGAAGAATGCAGGGTTGCGGAACTAAAATTTAGTTTGTAGTTCATGTACAAACTTGGCAAAAAATTGTCTCAATAACCTGAATAACTGACATGTCATGTTGGAATTTTTACCAAATTGAAAACCTAAAAATAAAAACGAATTTTGAAGAACATTTTAATAATATTGTGTTATGTATAATTACACTAGCGATCCGCTTAGTGTATTATTATGAACCTTCTTTTTTTGTAACATAACTCGCAAATAAAAGTGTTCATTAAAAGTGTTTACTTATTTGAAAATTTCACTATCATTAGAAATTAAATAGCATCGGTTCTATGCTTTATTTGTGGCTAGTGTTTGTTGCTTATTAAGCGGCCGTGGCTGAGTGGTTAGTGTTTGAGACTCTTAAGCTACGGTCGCACGTCCGAATCTCAGACGTTGCCAATTTTTTTTTCTCTAATTCGAGGCTTATTTCTAATTTTTCTTATTGCCTTTTATAGAGGTGCTTTTTGTCGTGTTCTCGCTATTTTTTGCGAAGCAAAGTTTCGCCTCTGTGTTACTAACTGTGGTCTGAATCTATTATTTTTTAGATTAAAATGTGATTGACTTTTTTTCTTGAATTTTTTTTGCTTCTCCTCGGTTTAATTTTTTCTTTTGCCATAAATCCTTCAAAATAATCATAATCCTAATTGAGAATCGAACTTATCTTGGTGAAAACTGAGTTTTTTTAAATGAATTAGAAAGTCTGCTATCTTAACCAGTTTTTCTAGCTTAGAGTTAATTCAAAATTTTAGCAATATGTACTTTTTTTAAAAGGTTCGCACTCTCAAAGGTTGAAATTATGAAAGACGTATTCTACTGATGCTTTTTGTTGGCCTGCATTTCCTTGCAGCTGGCTATTTTATTGTACTTTTCGGTAATTTTTTCTAGGTCATTATGCCTAAGAACGATTTTCTTACACCGAAAGCAATCGCGAATCGTATCAAGTCCAAGGGACTTCAGAAGTTAAGATGGTATTGTCAAATGTGTCAAAAACAGTGTCGAGACGAAAATGGGTTCAAATGCCATTTGATGTCTGAAAGTCATCAGCGACAGATGATGCTGGTGGCAGATAATCCAAACAAGTACTTAGATGCATTTTCTGAAGAGTTTTTGTCTGATTTCCTGGATTTGCTCCGTCGGCGTTTTGGGACTAAACGAGTAAATAACAATCAGGTGTACAACGAATACATTCAATTCAAAGAGCATATACATATGAATTCAACTAAGTGGGTGACCTTGTCAGAATTTACAAAATGGCTTGGCAGAGAAGGTTATTGTCATGTAGATGAAACTCCTAAAGGTTGGTTTATTGCATACATTGACAGAGATTCTGAGGCAATGAAAAAACAAGAAGCTCTCAAAATCAAAGAGAAAATGGATTATACCGACGAGGAGCGTAATCAGAAATTTATTGAGCAACAGATGATTCTGACTAGTTCCAAACCCGCACGGCAAATACAACCTACAGAATTAGTTAGAGAAAACGATGATGAAAAAATACAGATCAAACTCAATAACAAGCCGATAATTTCTAACCCCAGTAATGATCTACCTGCTGCTGAAAAGGTAGAAAATCCTCTGAAAAGAAATTCAGATTCAAAAAAGCCTATCAAGTCAAAGTCGAAGCCTAAATCAGCTTTGCAAGAGATAATGGAAGAAGGATTGAAAAGCAAGAAACAAAAGATGGAAATACCAAACGAAGACGAATTTATCGAAGATACTGCCGATGATAAATGGCTAACAGAAGGCTTGATTGTGAAAATAACGACTAAAAGATTGGGCGATAAATATTATAAGCAGAAAGTAAAAGTTATAGAATTAATATCTGATTACATTGCTACCGTACAGCTTGTAAATGAGCTAGAAACCAAAATCAAACTGGATGCTATACACGTTGAGACGGTGATTCCGGTTCCGGGAAAGAAAGTCAAGTTTGTCAAAGGAAAGTTAAAAGGAAAAACAGCAACAGTTGAAGAAATTCGTGAGAAGGACTTTTGTGTCCGAGTAAGATTAGATAATGATGTTTTGCAAGTTCCATATGAAAACGTTTGTAAATTCGATTAGTGTTTATCTATCATTTTAGAGTTGACTATTTAGTGGATAAAGGTTTTAATTATTCTAGAAACATAACAAGTTTATAATATGAAATTGAGTCAATTTTACACTTGTGTGAGATATTTTTTCAGTGTTTGTGATGAAGAATTTGCGGAAGTAACGCAGAATTGAATTTGGCTCTTTGAGAAAAGTGTTGGAGATAGAAATTTCTTCAACAATGACTGGTTAGTTTTTTTTCGATTGCTTCCGTTTTTGCTGAAAATCATTTCGTTTGCAAGTAATTTTAGGGTATTTTACGAGACATCTGTTAGTTCAGTTGCAACTAGCATGGCTGTGTTATAATGCGTCCTTTTGATCAAAATTGTTATTCGAAAAATTCAAAAAATTTATTCAACTTTCATGGGGTTGTATTTTGCAGGCAAGAATACAATGAGTTGAAACAGTAGTTTTGCAGATATGATCATTTTCGTGATAAATTTTGAAATTCCTATAAATACTTGGAAGCTCATTCTTGTTCTTGAAATTCAAAGAGCTATTTAGTCATATTTTTTGCTTTGAAGTTCGGAGTTCTTTTTTTTCTGTTTATAGTCTCTTTTCTGTTTATAGTCTGTTGGCTTTAACCAATTACTTTTAAATAAGAAGAATCTCAGGTCGACTAAATAATATGAACTAGCTAAACCGAGCCTCAGAATATTCAGCCATGTTCGTTTTACCGTTTCAAAAACATTCGTGTGTTTACTTTTAGCAGTTGAAGTGACCCATCTATATGAAGCTGTAGCAGATGATGAGCTGACAATCAAGCCCGGGATGGTGTTGCGGGACTGCATACCAGTGGAGGGGGAGATTGGGTGGATGAGTGGGGTGTTGAACGGAAAGAAAGGGTTGTTCCCGGACAATTTCGTCAGGGTAAGATGTGGCATGATAGTATACTAGTTGAGATTTTGAGAATTACCATTCACCTTTTCTGAGACGCTAGACTGAGTCTGAGTGCTCTAGTATATATTCCTCTAATATAAAAAACTCTGTTAGAAATGGGATGTTTCCACCACGTTCGAGTGCTGATAAAAAAAAGGTCATTTGACAGCATTGATATGGCAATTTTCTTCATATGTCCTTGTTTTGGTTGGCTCAATTTCAGTTTTTTACACTAGCAAGTGTAGTTTAATAGTACTACTTCTTTTTTACAACCTAAATCGCAAATATAAGTGCTAATTTTGGTAGCACTTTTGAAGCTGGCTGTATCGGCAGTTTGGCAGCATGTGCTTTAACACAGTTTGTGCATTTTTAATTCATCAAATGAACCGAAAAAAGCTTTTTATTTCACACAACTACAGTCATAAAAACATGCTTTCAAAAACTTTCCCACTCCATATATCTCGCAGATTCTTTGAAATGCATAATTTGGCTCTGTGCGTTCCAATGTAATACATGCTAAGTTGTGTCGAATTGTATTTGGTTCCACTTTCGCTGCATCGGATTAGTAATTTATTAGCATATGTAGCTACTTTTTTGGTGGCTAGTGTTAGTACAGCCAGCGAAGCTTCGCCTCTGTGGAAAAATTTGCTATCAATAAGAAATTACTCTTGTTTTTTTATATATTTTTTTGCGGATTTGTAGGGTTTAGTTTTTGACGGCTCAATTTCCGTTTTTAAATTAATTTCTTTGTATAAGAAATTAAACTTGCTTCATTATTGAGCATTGAGATTTTTCCGAACCCTTCACTCTTGCTGTAGAAGTAACGTGGTTGCCTTTGCATTCTAAGGTCTGGGCTTCCAGTCCCTGTCGAACATTGTAGTTTCAGTATGTATGAACTTGAATTTTTTCCGGTAAAACTGAATTGTCGGGTTTTTCTTTGTCTGCTTTTGTAGGCTAAGCCTACAAAGCGTGGCCTTTTTTCTGCTTTGAACATTTTTTTGATTATTTACAGTCGCCCTGTTATTTTATCAATTTTCCAACTCGGTTTCTGGTTAAAATTTTAATTTTTATTTTTATCGGCTTTTGCTTGTTTTATCGGGTTATTCAATTAAGTTTGTGGTGTTTCAAAGGCAAAAGTTAATGATCATTTTAAAGATGTTCCATAAAGTCAAACTCCCTGCGCGTTTTACAAGGTTGTTTCCGCAACAAAACACCTCCATCTAGTTAGGAGTGGCCTGAAGCTTAATTAATTGCGAAAAACGGTATAAAATGTGGGATTTTTGTTGCATATTTTTTTAACATGCGAGGATAGTGCTAGGGTGAAAACTGTAGCGTAGATTATAACATGATATTGCAAATAGCTAGGATAATTTTATCACCATGAGGTAGTTCTTTTGGTGTAAGATAGCTCAGGGTAGCTCTATTTCGCTTTATTGATTTCGTTTTATCAATTTATTTTGAAACGAAATTGTGTTTTTCTAAGTTTGTTTTTATGATCTATTCCAGCAGATTCCCAACGTATTGAACTTGTTCAGCCAAAAGTTGATAATGGCATAAGGTTTTTTCTTTGCCCAATTTCAGATATCTTAATGATAGCTAGCACCTTGAGGGTCAAAGTTGGTAATTATTTTGAAACCCGAGCAATCGTTAATTCGACTCTCAACAAGTCAGTCCAAATTCGGACTAAAAAATTGTCTCAGTGTCGAGAAAAATTGTTTAAGAGTCACACTGAACCTAGTGATGACTCTTAAAAAGGTCTTAGTGATTTTTTTTTGTTTTTTCGAGAAGTCTTAAAATGCGCTAACTACAGCTGTGCATTCATCCTTTTTATGCATTTATGACTGCAGTTAGATATATTTTCGCTTTTTGAGTTCAATGCAAGATCATCTGCTGAAAGTTTGTTAATTTGCGCTCTCCGAATACGAACGTGAAAATGGCGCAAAAACATGAATTACTTCTAGTTTTGAAAACTGATTTCAGATTTTTACATTCGTGTTGAAATTCAAAAAGCCTCTAGATCATTAATTTTGTATATTAAAGTTCGAAAGTTGCAGGTTTTTTTTTGAAAAATGAGTCAGTTTTTTTCTGCCTTTTTGCATTCAATTATTTTATTCATTTCTGTTGGCTATGTTTGCTTTTGCTCGGCTGCTCAGACCACAATTTTGTGAAAAGAGTGGACTCACCATTTCAGCGATGAACGAGTTTTCTATTGAAAACAGTGTGTCAACATTTTAAAAGGAAATTACTTATCTGTGAATCTATCTATGATATACTTAAATGCGGCTCACTATCTCAGTTTGCTTAGGTTTTTTCAGTGTAATGTTTTCGCATGTTTAACGAAAAATTTTTTTGCTCGCTTAAGCTATATCGTATATTGCAACTCGTAAGAAATATTTTCGATTTTCTAGCTTGAATTCAGTGCTTTTTGTCAGGTTTGAAATTAGCAACCCAAAAATTGTATGCTCTCGGGATTAAACTAGGAGTTGCAAATTGGGCCTCCAAATATAAATTCCCAAATCTATTTAGTTTACCAGATACGAAGATTTTTTGAAATTTTTCATAAAACGTAGATTTGAAAAATTCAACAAAAACTGAAATTTTCAACCCTTTAGTTGGGTGCTATCAGGGTACTCTCAGGTGTTGCGAGTTTTCACTCAAAAGTTGGCAGCTCAAATTCTTTTAGTTTGCGAGATATGACGTTTTCTTAATAATTTTTCAAAAATTTTCAAATAACTTAGATATAAAAAAATTAACAAAAGTTGAAATTCTTAACTCCATAGTGTGATGCGCTGCCAGTGTACTATCAGGTGTTTTACATGGCGCATTCAAATGTGATTGCTTAAATCTACTTCTGTTCCAAGATATGGCATTTTTATGATTTTTCACCTATTTTCAGAAAATTTGAATCTGGAAAATTTCACAGGTTTGAAATTGCCAACCCTGTAGTCAGATGCTGTCGAGTTACTCTCAGAGGTTGCAAGTTTTGCCTCCAAAGCTGACGGCTCAGATGCTTTTGATTTCCGAGTTTTGACCTTTTTTCAATATTTTTTCAAAACTTTTCAAAAAAACTTGTCAAAAGTTTGCAATTCCCATCTTTTCAGTGGGATGTTTTCTGGGTACTCTCAGAGGTTGCAGATCTTGCCTATAAGTTTGATAGCTCAAATCATCATGCTTTTTCAGTTTCTTTTTTAAATTTATGATCTAAAATAAAAGCCGGGGTGCTCTTAAGATGCTCTCAGGATGTTTGTCTGGACTCCAATTATGACTGCTTCCTCAGATATGACATTTTAATCTATTTTGAAAGTTTTCAAAACTGCTCAATTTTAAATAGTTTTTTTTCAAAATCTGAAACTGTCGGTCTTTTGGTGGGGGTAATGTCAGGTTACTACCAGCGGATGCATATGTGGCCTCTCATCCCAATATTATTGCTGAACTTTTTTCATAAAACTTCAATTAATCTAAGAAAAAGGAGCGTGATATTTTATAATTAATTATGAACCCCATTTATGGATTTAATAATTTCTGCTATTGAAATTGTTTAAATTTGTTAAAATATGGAAAATAGAGTTTTATGCTGTCGGCCATTTTGGTTCAATTTTTGAAATCAAAAGCGTTGTGGATTCCCGTTGTTTTTTAATATATTTTATGTATAAGCTAATTTCATGTTCACTATTCTGTTTGAAGCACCAGAGGTGCGTTACTGTATAGATTATCATGATCATCTTCTTTGTATAAAAAAGCTTGATGAAGTTGCCGCGAAATATTTGAAAAATATCTCTTTTTTTGGAATCTTTTTTCGATTTTTTTGCAATAGCTGATAGCGGTCTAAACATTTTGCCCAGCAATCGGATACTCTCTTGCTGAATTGGCAAGCCGAGTTTATCTTGAAATGACATATGATTGAATGGTGTAGCATTATAGTAGTTTTGTTGTCAGTAGCTTTGAATTGATGTTCAAAACAAGTGCTCTAACGATTTATCTAGTGCTCGGTAAAGAGGACGACAAGATTTTGAGGCTACATAGCATTAAGACGCCAAATAAGATATGAAGTATGAAAATTTAACTGTTCGAAATTAAGGTTTAATTAGTATTATTAAAATAGTTTTTGCAATATATTTTTTAAAATATATTTAGTGGTTTCCGTTTCATTTTCCATTCACTTGGGTGTGCCATGCTATGCTTGCCTTGTATCGTATGTGTTGCGAAGCTCCATTTCTAAGCTCCATTTTTGTACTAGGTTTTAAATACCGGATCTGAGGGGAATGCTAAGTCGGTTGCAGCGGCTCGACTTTCACTCTCACCTGTCAATGTTACACCTGATGAGGACAATGAGTATGACATGGCTATTGGTGAACGAAATGCCCAAGAAGTCAAACTCATAGGTAATAATAAGTAAACGCTTAGGATATAATAGTATTCGACAGAAACTGTCGAAAACTTAAAAAACGGGAAGGGACCTAAAGAGGTTTTTTCTTTGTAATAAAACTTTATTTAAAAATATTCAATTGTTATTAAAAACATAAGTAAGCGTTCTTTTTACATAATTTATTATATTCGTTCCAAGTAATTGCGAAGTGAAGCAAATCATTTGCGTTGTTACCATTACAGATAAGGACTTTTCGATTGTGAGTGACTTCAAAGCAGTGAAAGCTGGACAACTGAGTCTGAAGAAAGGAGGCAAGGTTAAAGTGATGCGAACGGAAGAAGACGGATGGTAAATCTCTCGACTTGTTTCACCTTATCAATTTTTTTAAATATCTAAAATGAACGAAATATAGAGACCGGTGTGTTTTTGTTAGACGTAGGTTTTGTGGCTGTGTACTCTTTTCCAACTTATGCGGCATCATTTTTTATTGTACCACTTTACCTCGCGTTCCAATTTAGCCTATAAAATTTCACCTTAGGCTCATAATCAAAAATACCTTATGTCTTTTGAAGTAGAACAAAACCGTGCAGATATCAATGAACTATTCAAGTAACAGAAATATTGGTTCTAAATTGAATTGAAATCAAAGCATTAAATCAAATTGCTTAAAACTCAATTTTTACCGCTATTAGCCCAAGGCTGAAGAAAAAACATTTGTTTTGATATTGGCCCAGAAACACAACTCAAAGAGACCAGGAACCTCGAAAGATTTGTTGTTTTCTATTAAGTCAATTGATTTTCTTAGAATATTCGCAAAAGCCATAATTGATCGAGAGCTCAATTGTTTGAGAGAATATAAATAACCTAAGATTAATTGCTTGAAACAATTTACAAGGCTTGTTACTCGTTCGTTCAAAACCCGTCTGTTCATACGACTCGACCTGCCTTCTTGTCACTTCTCGTCAAGGCCTTGAGATAATATCGAAAATTTGATTGACTGCTTCGAGTTGGGTTTGATCCAGGAGCATTTAAAAAGAAGGATGACTGCCTTAAAACAGTGCAGTATCACCAAGATGTTCTTGCTAGTCCAGCGCACGTTCCTTCGAGTGGTTCCACATTGTCATGGAAACAAAGGCCCTCGGTTGTTGCGACCTATTGTCTTCCCTTTGAAGTAGCTTCTGTGAAAGTGAGAGGTAAACTATGGGCCGAGAGTCTCGTCTAGCTTAGAGTGATCGGCGACTCCCTCATTTTTTCAGATGACTTGATGAGACGTAGCAGTTACCCTGTCGATGGGCGCAGAGCTTTTTCATTAAATGAAACCAGCTAATTGATTGCAATTCGTATTTAGTTATTAAGAGTAATGAACGTAGTAAGTACTCTTATATAGGTCTTGGTGATTTTTTTGCTTTTTTCAGGAGAAAGTGTTAAAATTTCACGCTCAGTTTTGATTTTTCGTGGCCTGACTTTTGATTTCTTTTTTTTTAGTTCAGTTCATTTCCTTTGTTGAAAGGAAGGCAATCTCAACTATCGAACAGCGAAAGTGTAAAGGTCACAAAAAACGTGATCGACGTCTATTTTCGAAAGTTAATTTTAATGTTCAGATTTCCCAGCGGAATTAAAAGCTTACTTATTGATCCAATTTTCTTAAATTGGGTTATTTTATGATAAAAGCACCAATCATAAATTGTTCTTGAATTTCAAAGAGCTTTAAGGGCATATATATTTTCTTTAAAATTCGAAATTTAAGCTTTTTCAAAAAAACAAGTCAGGTTTTTTTCTGTTTCATTGCGTTCATATTCTTTTCCAAATGTCAGTCCATGTTTAGATTTGCAATGGCATAATTTCAAGGTTACATCATAAATATCGGTTCAGCTCAAGGGCATCAAATTGTTGCTGTCGACGAAATCTTGCAATATTTCGGTATCCTCGATCGCTCTGTCGCTAAGACAAAAGCAGAAAATTTCAAATGCTTTGTTACAACTGTGTATCACTACGTGGGTCAAATTTTTCTTTCTTTTTTTTTCGGGCTAATTAAAGCCCTGCTTATGGTAAATAGAAAAAATGAAACAATTGTATGGCTTTCTTTCTGCCACTGATCTAATGGTTACTGATGTTGCTGGTATCTACTGAATTTTAGTGTCTGTTTTTTTTTGCACAAGCCTTGTGTGGGACGTTCTGTGAAAACTTGAAAAAATATGATGAACTTTTCCAGCGTTCTTTTACGCTTTTTTTCCCGCAATTTGGCATACTTTTGGCGATAAAAATGAGGATTCGGCAATAGCGTTGTGACAGACCCCAGTTAGGCAAATTTGATATTGCAGTTTCGGACAAGACAACAGACAAATTGAACCATTTGTGTCATCTATCTGCTTTAAGCTTGCAAAAACTTCAGTTATTTAATTGTGATAAGGTACAAAAACTGGCAAAGTGCTTAAAGGACCTAATAATGCTTAGCTTGAATTTGTGGATCAATCGAGTCTTAATTTTTGCCTCCATTATGTTAAAACGGGCAAGTTAAAAATTTTTAACTAGGTATTGACTGCGCGTCAAATGATAGAGCAACGGATATATTGCTGCAGGGTAAGTTGGATCATTGGCAAATGCATAGGATAAGTTGGAATAGTTTGAGTAATATGTCTTGCTATCTAGATTTTAAGGTAGTTTTTTTTTAATCTTCGGTTGTTCAATAAATTATTTCGGTTTGTTCGTAGAAAGTATGCCCATGAAAGCTGAACAGTGGATAAAATTTCAGGTTCTTTGGGGAATTCAAAAACGAGAAAGGGACATTCCCAGCATCGTGTGTGTCGGAATCAGATGCAGTTGGTCAGACTATCAAACAGTCTCCTAAACAAAATTCGAACCAAAAAACGGTAAGTTGTTTCTCATCTTTGTATAAGGAAGTCGGTGTCCTAATCTTTATTGGTCTGAATTCAATTAACGGATATCCTAATGGATGCTTAATTACACGAGAGTTTTTACCATTTGAATTACGGTATCTTACCCTCACACTTTGATCATGCACTTTTTTCATAAGTTGTGCGATCTTTTGCATTGTTATGGTATAGTATGGCATGGGCGATTTTACTGCATGCAACTTTTTGCTATGGTATCCTTATTTCCTGGTACTCATTTGGTTGTCCACGGTGAAGTCTGCCAGCAGTGGCATGAAAAGGGGGATTAAGTTGGTTTATGGATATGTTATGTCTGTCGGTCTGTTCATGCTGAAAATCATTTAATAGTGTTTTATAGTAGCCTTGGGTTTCGTAAATTAGACACCTGAATCTAATTCAGTGGTATTCCTTGGAATCCTAGGCAAGTACTGGTATGAAAAACCGGCAAACATTTCTAGTAAGTCGAAAGTTTAACTAGAAACAATTGAAAAATTGAACCACAGGGGAAAATGTTAGAACCGGGAAAAATATATAGCACAACAGATAATCAATCACTGTACAAATGTGAAACCCAAGCATTTTACCAAAAAAAAAGAATTAACTGATATGGAACGATGATTTTCGCTTTTCTACATAGTCGGTGTTTTGGTATGTATGCGGGTGTAGAAGGGGATCCTTACATGTAAGGAGTCATGCCATTGGCATTCCGAATCATGTTTACTTTTGACATAAACAATCCGACGGTGTAATTGCCCTAAGCTCCCGAAATGGTCCCTGGTTAGCTTACGTATAATTGGCAATCGAATAATCAAACTACTTGCCCGGGAACGGCAAAAGGTAAATCTAACGCAAACAATAACCAACACTTCACTTTTAACTGAAAATTTGAGAAGTAAACACTTAAATTCCTGTCCATTAATGATCAGTTTTGCTAAATTGAATGAGAGATATTTCAATTTTCAAATTTTTATGAAAATATTTGTGAGATGTTTTTAGTCTAAACCTGTTGCATCCGCTGGTAAGATCACTGTCTCTCTTTCTTGTTACTTTCTCGCAATGACTGTTCGCTTTATTACCTGGCTGTGCTTTTTTCTGTATATATGCTATTTAAATTATATATGCTGTTTAAATTATTAAAAACGTCTCTGATCTCTTGTTTTTCTTTATGATTGCAAGATTATTTAAGTTAACTTGATGTCTCTTTTGCTAATTATGTCTTATTTGCTAATTAGTATCTCAGAAGTTTTATTTTAACTATTTGTGTTTCAATTTTTTTTTCTTCCGGCTGGAAGCGTGATTAATTATTTCGAGGAAGTCTACAATTTTAATTTCCATGCTATTTAAGTTCCATAATGCCAAAGATCTATTTTGATGTGACTTGGCATTGCAGGATTTTTTGTCTTCTTCTTTGATAATTCGTAAATTGTAGTGATATCTGATACATCAGTGATAAAATGATAATTAATCATTGGTAAGTTCGCGACTTTACTTCAGACAATAGCAATAGTTTGTTTCCAAGTTGATTAATGATTGATTACGAACAAATCTGGCCTCTGCAGTTTACTTCATGTTTTATCAAGCTCAATGTCAAGACCAAACCAACTTTGATTAATTGGTCTTGTTTTGGCTAAAATGTGTCTCTGGCGCCGGATCACTGTCCTTTACAAATAAACGCACCATTTTAAAGCCAACCCCACCGTGTTTTACTCACTATGATCGAACACCTATCGAAAAAAATTAATTAGCAAAAGTGTTGTTTTTTTTGCTGTAAACGAACTGAGATTCTATACAGAACTGATCGTATTCAGAAGTTTTTGAAGTACAAGTGCAAAACATATGTTGGATACTTTTCTGTTTTCTTTTCATGGCTTTAAACGTCCCAATCCAGATTTAAGTCATCTTTGCTAGTGCATGTCATAGCGCGAATCATTTACAGAGCTGTGTAGTAAGTACAACTCCGGACCTTAAAGTTCCGGTCTGTTAATTATTCTCAAAAATCCAATGCCTTTTGTGTACCATTCCTTGTCCATAAAATCTTTGTTTCTTATTCATTAGTTAAATTGTAAAATCTTTAGAAATTTGTAATCTGTAAATTAGTCGCCGTTTCTTTATTTTTGTCACTAATTAGCGCGCATTATCATTGGGTTGTTTTCGACCATTATTTTACCTGGTTATCTTATATTCGTGAAATATTCAATGTTCAGTTCAGTTCATTATGCCGGATATTGATTCATTTTCTTAAATTTTGCAGTGCTTTCGTATTTAATTCTTAACCGTTCCAGGAATTCGAAGTTCACAGCCAAAGTCGCCTTTATCGCGACCAGAAAGTGCAATTTCCGCAAGAATACGATACTTCGAAGAGAACCCTTTCATATTTCCAGTTTATCCTAGTCCGAAATCGATTGAGAAGTCGCCTCCACTGCTTAAAAAGAGAGCTAAGATTTCTCCATGCGAAGCTACTGCTCTCGACTCTTACTCTAATACATTGAGCCAAGTGAAAACAGTCGCGAAATTGTCAGAAAACGAAACGTCAAATTCGAGTTCATTTCAGAGCTCAATTTTCAGAGCCCATTCTAAAAAAGTTCCATTGTCTGATAGTTTAAACATGGATCGATCCAAGAAAACGTTACTAGCTAATTTTCCAGAATCACTGGAACAGTACAAACGTCTAGTTCTGGATTTGTGCCAGGGCTGTCGTAGCATTGCAGTGTCTCAAGAATTGTACGATGAATCAACACAAGTGAGAAGATTTCGAAGCTCAGTCAATGCGTGTATGGAGTTAAGCCAAAGCTTCGCTACAGATTTGGTGGACCTTTCACTAAATTCTTTCAAACCTGTGTCCAGTAGGTTCTGTTTGACTCATGTATGTCCAGCTAAAACGACTTTTGAGACGGTTCCGGTAATTGACAATGAGTTCATCAGCTCGCCATGTTGCTTCACAGCTCTGTACAAATTGACTTGCTGGAAGAAAAAATTGATTCCAGCGTTGGATTTAGAGGTCACAAATAAAAGCACGTCAAAATATTGCGCGAATAAAGTGACTGATTTGTTATCGGATTTCAATTGCGCGAGAGAATCAGATAAATTGTCAAAAACGGTAATCGGAAGTCATTCAAAAGATATGCAACCTTATAATTTAAACAGCCGAAAAGAGAAGAAAATATTGGTTCTCAAAGCCCATCAAAACTTTGAGAACATGAAACGAAAAGACCCACCAAAGGCTGTTGATGTGATTTCATTAAGGAAATCGCCCAAGAAAGGTCAAAGCAGAGTTAGAAATGATGCCTGGCCATGGGAAATTAATGATAATTTAAGACTGCGAATTTTTGAGGAACAACAAAAACTGAAACAGCAAGTTTTGAATAATATTGATGCGCGTTTCGAAGGACTTACAAGTTATTCTTTGACTCCATCCCCAAGCAGAAGAAAACAGCGCAATGTTCTGGAAGATTCTAGATGGTCTCAAAGCGAATCCAAAACATCAGAAACAAGAAAGTTGATCGAAAAAGAAGGTTACTTGAAGTCAAAAATGTCTGGCATATATGACAGGTCAATTACAGAAGCAAAGGTTCTAAACTACTCTCTTGACGATTCGTTTTTGTCGATCGACGAGATAAAGCGAAAAAGAAATCGACAATCGAAAGGTGATTTTAAAGTCACTGATGACGATAAATGGCCATGGGAAGATGAAAAAAGCGTAAAAAAATTCGTAAATGACTCTTTGCGGAAAGTGAAAGCAAACGAAAGTTTCGATGGAGCAACCAGTGATTGGAATATATCTCCGATTGCTAGAAAAGCCTCCAACGATGACAGGGTTGAATCTGGAAATCATGTTGACTTAAATGAAGTACCTCTTCGACCAATTTCATCTAGAGCTACAGTTAGATCAATGCCTTGTAGAGCTCCAGAAGTCTTCCAACATGTTCCTGTTGAACATGAAGAACCAAAAAAGCCTAAGAAAGCCCAGAGATGTCTAAATTTGAGAGCAGTCAACCGCGAAAATGATATATCGATGTTATCATCTGACCGAACAACGACGGATGAAAGTCGAAGTGATATAGAACGTCGCTCAGATCACTCGAATCGCTCTTCCAAGAGCTACTCGAGAAAGAATTCTCAACACTGCGTAGAACCTGTCAGCAGGCAACAAAGTGACAGTTTTCATGAAGTAATTGAAGAGATTTTGACCGAAAGTAACAGAGATACAAGAGTTATGTTCGGTGATGACATGAATTCGAGTTCGCAACGGAATAGTTTGGTATATTGCATTGAAGCTGAAGTGCACCAAGAACCAAGAAATTGTTTCAAGGATTTGTTATTTTCTCAGAAGCTAAACACGAATATCGAGTCTTCGGAGGAACTGCGAGACGAGTTCTATGATTTGCCAGATATTTTTCACCATAGTGGGTCGATGTCTTTTGACAGTCTCTCATCTATGTCGAATAAGCAAGAAAAATTGAGTCATGTCGCTCCTAAGAAGAGTTCAAGTGTCCTGGAGTCAACCGAAGAAGAAAGAAACGGTTACCATGACCAAACTGACGGCTGTTTGAAAGCACGACAAGGTGACAAAAGCATGGACCAGAGTTTTGTATCTGTATCTTCAATTGCAGATACAGATTGCTTCAATTCTGCTGCCATTAAAAATGGACTCAGAAAAGCTGCTAAGTCAATCTTCAAGAAATCAGATTCAGGCAATGAATCTTCGAGTAGTTTTGCGAAAAGAGAGCAGCTGCCCATGTCGAGGTATATGTCGTTCGCGAACCAGAGAGATGGGTATCATTCGGACCCGGAATGTTTATTTATTCCTAAGGAGTTCAAACTCGGTCTGACCTCAATGAAAAATGAAGAGCTGGACTGTAAAGTTACCCAAACCGAGTTCGACAATACCAGTTCAGGAGTCCAATGTGATTGTTCGGCCGATATATTATCGCAAGATACTTGTGTTCATGAGATCTGTACGAAGGAAACGCAAACCGAGTTCTCTAGCCACAACACTTCGAAGGTGTTTTCGGAGGAAGAAGGAACTTCAAATTTGAATGGAACGCTATCGTCAGAATCAGTGACTTCTGGATGTTATAAAGTTACACAAAATGTCGAAAAAACTTCAAAACATTTCAGCTCCGTTATTGGAAGGCCTAGCTCGTACACGTTAACCGAGATGTATTTGAATGAAAATACGGAGCCATTTTCGGATATTTCTAGAGGACTTGAAGATTGCTTTTCCTATGCTGACGAGTATTTTAAAAGTAGAAATGGCCGCAAATGGTATGAAACTGAAGATGGTATTCAGAACGCGCAAGACGAAAAGCTTTTTGCAAATGAAGCTTTTATAAAAGACGATACTATACTTCCCGATATTTCAACGCGTATAAATAACGTCGAAAGTGCTTTTCTTCAAGCGGCGTCCAGATTTTCGAGTCTTGACGACGTCTTGGATTCGTGCCAAAAAACTATTAGTCAAATGCCTGGAGGGTCATTATCGTCAGATTTATCACTTTCTGTGAACAACAGTCGACTTTCAATGGTTCGAAACGAAGATTTTGAATCGAATCAAAGCTTGAAAAGAACTAATTTCAGACTATCGCCACTTTCAAGTCCTCTAAGAAAGAAAGACAAATCGAAAGATTCAAAGGAAAATCTGAGAGATGCCTTAACTCCCGTTGATTCAAGTTCGAAAAGGAGCTCGCCTCTGTTATCTGGTTCAGCGCGGAACCGACGCGATAACGATGAATTGGTTTCACGACAGAACATGGGAACGCTAAAAGATTCGGTCATCAAGGAATTGAAATTTATGCACTCCATAAGTGACTCAAGTTGCTCGGAAGAGGAGAAAAACTCACTGAGTGAGGAGTCAGATGTTTCATTATTGGCTCCATTAGCAGCATCTGAAAGTTTGATGACTGTCAATTCTGCAAGACTGTCGAGAAGTTTCGACCGGGACAGTTTTCTAGATGAAAACCGAAGATCTTCATCGGCTAAATTAAGCTTTCAAACGGAGGTTAACTCATTGAACCGAGATGCGACTGCATTTAGCGATGAAATTGAAAACGAAAATAGTGTTTCAATGCTGAACAGACAAATCTCGATGAGTCGAGATTTGAGCGAAATAGAAGCGACTAAAGATTACGACGAGCAATACAAAGAAATCAGCGATTCGTACCAAAATTTGGACCAAAAATGCAACGAAGCTTCAAGAAGGTACAGTTTTGAGCAGTCTTCGGTTCTAAATTCGGCAATGATTTGTGACGATGATTCGTTAAATGCGTACCGCTTCGACCCAATTGCTGAAGTTGGAATCCCGATGTCTATAAATGACTCAATCATTAGCAATGAATCTATCGCGCATAGAAAAGGTGATTTATCACAGTCTTACAAGGTGCCATTAAATGATGGGGAAGTTGAGAGCAAAAGTAATGAGTTTGACAACGCCCGATTTTTTTCTTTTGTCGATGTTGAGAGTTCAGGTTTCGAGAGCTCGGTGACTTTCGGGTCGATTACGAGTAGCATTGACAACAGAAGCAAGAAAGTAGTGGATTTTGATTATACAGTTGGCTTAAAGGCGTGTTCTAATCGCTCCGATTCAAGTGAAAGTCAATCATTTAGGGATTGTGAGCTTACTGTTAATGATGATGAAAGTACCCGATCTGTTATAAACTTGAAAAACGGCTCTGAGAAATTTACCCTATCGTCTAAAAAGCCACCGATTTGTTGCGAAGAATCTGTAGATGGTTTATCAGATGGTGAAAGCGCAGTTTCTAAGAGAGATTCCGACAATTTTTCGGGCGAAATTGTTCAAGAAACATCATCAAAGGAACTGGACCTAGAAACGAGTTCCGAAAAATCGCGATCTGCAAATTGTGTTTTGCAGTAGCCGTTGAAAATAGAAAGCTGTGAAATAAAATGATAATACGAAATGACAATTAAATAATTCGCTTAATTCAGAAAAAAACATCCAATTTTTGAAGTCCTTACTCTCAGATTGCTTTAAACTTGAAGATTTGACGTTTTTGGTGCGTTTGCTTATTTGTTGCAGTTAATTTAGGTTGAAGTTGGTTCCGTTTGTTAATTGTTTCCATGAGCAAGTTTGTTCACTTTTAGACAATATCCCCAATGTTGTTTTTCCCATTGTTCGCAATTAACCGCGTCTGTCAATGTTAAAATATTAGTTTTGATAGACGTTTCAGAAAGACCAAAATGTCCTTGTTTGACAAGGCTCATCCAATGTATTGTACAAATCTTTGACATTGTTTTGTAAACTGACGTTAATAATAGTTTGAACGAAGATCTATTTTGTTATATTGTTAAGTTTACTATTGTTTACTATTGTTAATGGTTATGATAATAATGATGTAACTAACTTCTGCAGTTTTGATCAAATGTTGCTATAACTAATTGACCCAGTATTGAGTATCGGCATTTATTTTATTCGATGTTTGAATTTGTATAATTGTTCGTTCCTTCCAACTATTGCAGCTACAAAGTTGAATAAATTATATCAATTGAAATTAACCAATTATTTTCTCTTTTGATAACTACCTTCTGAAGCTTAACCTTGTTTGTTTATTCTTTCTGAAAAACTGATTGCGAAACAATCCAGGTTATCTGCTTGGACTGCATATAGCAAAGATGTCCTTTGACAGGGTAACTAAAGAACAGATTTACGTGTCAAGCAGTTTTTGGTCATCCGATTAGTAGAACCATGATCTGCCAATTGGCCCAGAGCGTTTAAATTAAGACAATTAATCCACGAGGGAAAATACCAACATTTGAGCCATTCAGCTCATTACGGCAAGCCGCTCTTTTGCCCATTTAGTTAAATTTTCAGAAAATGCATCCTCAGCCTCGCTAGAAATGGCCAATACCAAGAGTTGACTATAATTGGAATCGGGATTTTTTGCGTGTTGCGTAACGCCGTTTCAATGATACAGGGAAACGAAATCTTATATCACAGAGCTCTTTTTTGTTCTGGTCGTCCTGAAAGAATGCGAAAAAACTATGGCCCGGGATGGCTTTTTTCTCGCAATTGAGGGGACCTGAAAGCAAGCTCGTAGATTATCGCGTGTGGCATCATAAATTATGCAATAATTCAGGTTTCAAGAATTATTTCAAAAAGTTCGCAAGTTGAGAATGTGAAAACAATTTATGATTCTTTCGCTTGTCAGAGTAATTTACGTTGAATTTAACAAAAGCAATTGCCAGTTTTCTATTACGAGTTAACTTTTCCTACCCAATTCGCACAAATTACTGGTCAGCAAAAGTGCATAATGTCAGTATCTGTGTAGAGCCGATATGTTTTATCCGCATGTATTTAATCTGCTCTAATGGTGATGGTGTTTTAGACTAATTATCTAGGTCGCAGGTTCGAGTTCCAGAGGAGTTAAGTTATTTTCACATGCAAGAGCTAGTGGCTTGTTACTTGTAACCAGACTTTTTTTACATTTCACAATTTTTCCAACAGTTTACTAACATTTTATACTTCATTTTTGATTTTTTTTTCGATTGTTATAAACTAATGAACGTTTTTTGCATTGGTATTGTATCTGGAAAACTCTTTGCAACCTGCAGAGCATTCCACCACTCTTTTTGTTTTGAAGATGTGACATATATACATATATATTGAGGTGAGGAAGTGTGTAGGAACTGTGGCATAGAATGATTTTTTTGCGCAAAAACTGTCCTAAAAAATTCGTCGGGCGTCGAGTGATGGTATCGTGTGGAATCCATGGGCATAGTTGTTATTGCAAGTATTTGAAAAAAGTTCTCTCAATATTTAGAAAAAGCGGCCCAGAAATTTTCGTAACTGGCTCTTTGATATCTGTTTACCCTTGTGATAAGCAAGAGTATTACAATCGGGTACTAGACTTTTTTTCCCGTGAACAACTTTGTCCTCAAGACTCATTGGACTCCTGGTGTACCTTGCTTCATAATGATTTCAATAATCGTATTGCCTATTGCAAAATTAGCCTGGTGGTAACGAATACGCCTTGGGACGGCAAAGTTCCTGTGTTCAAATCTGACCAGGACTATTTTTTTTTCAAACAAAAAAATATTCCGGATCAAAAAAATGCGGCCTATATATTCCGGATCTGCAAATTGCGGCCTACTATTTGTCTGCTGATGTTTTGTTGGCTTAGTTGCCATATCTAAGAATCGTTTATTTTAGCTATTTTTAATTGGAGAAAAATTTAAACGCAGTTGAAAGTTCAAAATCTTTACCTGAATAGAGTAGAACAGTTTTTTGTTTAAGTTAGTGTTCATGTAATTATTAAATGATTAAAACATTGTTTAATCCGCCATTATGCTCTGCTGATGTAAGTTTCGTTGTGAGTTATATGCTGATAATAGTTAATATGTTTGTACGAAATTGTTTACTTAATTTCATTCTTGCATTTCATAAAACAAAATAGGACACATATATGACCAGTTATTTTGTGCGTATTTAAATCCATTTAATTGATTCGAAAAAAGAGCAATTTTGAGGCAATGTTTGCCTTCCCAATTTGCAAACGAAATTGCAATACGCTAAACTTTTGTCTTCAGCAATTTATTTCTAGACAAAATGCTTCGATACAAAAGCATTTAAAGTTAAAAGTTGTTTTAGTTTTAACCGGATGTTATAAATCAGCTCGGTTCACGGTTTATATAGTTTTTTTTGCACATTGAGCAGCTTTGACTGATTCTTGAAATATACTGAGATTGAATTAACAAGTATAAAGAAGCGCGTTGATACAGTGCTGATTTCAATCATTCGGACAAAACGAACAAAATTGGGAAATTCAAGCAAGTTGCTTAGTTTAACCATAATGGAATATGATGCCCTTAGTTTTGCGATTTTCGGGTCCATTTTTGGCTTCTTTAATCAATCATTAATTACGATTTTACTACCGCGTCGATTGCTGGCAAAATGCTCTCTACGAAAATTTGTTGTTACAATAAATCAAAGATACATTTTTTGAAAAGCTGTTTTTAAACGATTTGCGCGATTTATTGATGGCCACTTGTTTTAGGGCGCTTCATTTTCTAACTGTTTTGGATATACCGTATTTAAGCCCTTTGAGTGGTGAGTCAATCGGTTTTGAAAATTTTTTTATATCAATTTCCAGTGTCTACTAAAGGCGGTTGAAAAAGGAAGTTGTAGTCTAATTTAGAGCGAGTAAAACGAGCAATTAGCGTCTGATTACCCTTACAGCTAACAATCGTTGTAAAATCGAAATTTTTTTTGAGCATGTCTGCAATTTAAATGTCTATTTTGTTCGAATTTTAATTTATGGGATTTTAAATTTGGCTTAAATGGTTTCGGTGGGTGTTTAATCTGTTTAGTTGCCTCATAGATGGTCGAGTGGAGGACGAAAGTTATGAAGAGTAATGAACGTAGTGAAGACTCTTATATAGGTCTTGCTCATTTTTTTTTTTAGGTAAAAGTTTTTTAGGTAAAAGTCTTTAAATATTGATGCACTAAGGTATATATGAACCTTTTGTGTTCAATTGAAATTCATCTATTGAAAGAGACGTAAATAACACTCTCCAAATACGAATGTGCAAATGGCGCAAAAATTCGTGAGCGATTTCTAGTTCGAAAGTGGAATAAAATTTTAAGATTTCCAGCGGAATAAAAACTTTACCTGTTGATCAAGTTTTTCTCAAGTTGGGTTACTGTTATGAAAAATCGCCAATCAGTAATCGTTCTAGCAATTCAAAGAGCTTAAAGAGGGCATATGTTTTTTTTCTTTGAAATTCGAAAGTTGAGTTTTTTCAACAAGGTCAATTTTTTTAAGTTTACTTGCGGTCATAACTCTTTTCCAGTCTTCGATTCGCTCTGTTTTTTTTTAAATTTCATTTCTGATTCCGGATGGGGCGCAAAATTTTCTGTCGCTTAAATTGTTTTCAAAGCTCAATTTTTTCCGTTCAAAAGTCGTCTACACAAGTGTTGTCTGCTCAGTAACCGCTTGATGAAGTACATTTTTCAACGCTTATTTAACACTGGCAATTATGTACCTCAGTATCGTTCTTCAAATTCAACTGCAATCCAGACTAACGTTAATTTGTTTCGTCTTTTTTCCAACTCAGCTTTCGTCCTATTTTTGGGCGAGCTGCCGTGCTATTTTGTGTTGTATCAAGTCGAGCGAATCTCTGCTTCGCTTGTGTATTAAAAGCTATTTTCAAGCTGTAAAATCCATGTTCTGCCCATGTAACATTGGTTTTGAAGCTTCTTTTAGCGCTTACCTGGCTCCAAAGTGTCAAATATTGTAGAAAAATTTGTTCTAGATTTTTTGAAAGTTTGTTTTGATTTTTTTGTTTGCTCATTTTAAAATAACTCTAGCCAATTAACATCACTGTTAGTGTTCTAAGATTTATTCTTGTTCCTCTCCCTATGCGTACAAAAAAGTCAAAATAAGAAGAAATCGATAATTGAAGGGGGGAACCATGAGCAACTATCTATTTCTAAATTCAATTTCTCCCGTAAGTTCCCGACTTTTTCCATTTATGTTTCCACTTGCGAGATTTATGTTTTAACTTATTTTTTACCGTAATATATGTAGTGTTGCGAAGCTTCGCTTTGCCTGTAGCAAATATTTAGCCATCTGTTTATCACCAAGTCGTTTCTACTTCCAAAATATATTTCGAATCAATCAAAATTGATTTTTTCGATGACCACTTTATGAACTAATAGAAATTCATTATTGGCAGGCATTTTTTTTATTACCTCATTAGCGGTTTTTTGATAATGCGAGTAAGTTTCACCCAAATCACATTGCTCAGCTTCTAAATGGTAGTTGTAATTCGAATCAGCCTAATTAAAAAGCAGTTTTTCTATTGGAATTTTCGTTCCGGCAATCAGCTCATCCAGTGGTGAAGGCAAGTTATTTTTCATCAGCTGTTTTGTAGTCCTATTTTTCCTTTTTAAAGGTTTGTTTTCATGCTGTCGAGGTCATTTTTCTTTCACTTTTAACTTGCGAAGTGCATCTTCTCCCTGGCGTTGATCTATAGTTTATTATATGTCAATTTATTTTGAGTTTTCAGTAATACGCCCTTTAGAGTAAACGAAATGCGACAAAATAGTCTTCCATGTGATCTAATACCAGTATTACGTTAGATCATGGTTGTATTAAGTTGTAGGAATAACCTCTTTACCAAAAGCATGGGGATTGAGGTCCTAAATTTTTCCGTATAATTTTTGCTTCAATAAAGAGGAAGGAAAAAGTTTTGTATTCTGGTGTTTCAGTTTTTTTTGTTCCAACCATAGAAAACGGTAAGAACTTAGTCTTCGGGCGTGTTGCAGTTTCTTTTGAGCGCGTAACGCGAGAGAGGTGTTATATTAGGCTAACAGTTCCCCCTTTTTAATTTAAAACATTTTGATGCCATACAATTTCATTCCCTACTTTTTGTTGCCTTAGCAGTTTAACATCGCTAGATTATAAAACCATTTTTATAACTTAACAACGCTTTAATGCAAAATGAAAAGAAAAACTTACTTCAAAGGGGACTTCGATAAACATCAGACTTGAACGAGAAAAATGTTTGCCATTTAAAGCCAGACAATTTCGAGCTAGTTAATTCGCGAAAGTTTTGAACAGAAATGACCTGGCGAATAATTTCAGTAAATCGTTCCAAAATGAAATGGCCTTGCCAATTATTTCAATGAATCGTTCCAGAATGAACCAAAAACATGCAATAATTAATGATCTTCAATGGCCCGCAAATAATTAGACGGCCTATTACTAATATGGCCTAATTTTCCAGAAACTTTCAGCCGGTATAGAAATTTTAAAAAGGTTTAACCAACGCTAAAAGCCTAGAAATCAATCATTTTTAGAATCATTCTCGAACTGAAACCTATAACCTGGTCGCTTTGTCAGCGTTTTTTGAATTCGTGACACCTAAACGCAAAGCTAAAGGTTTTTCCAGCCCCTAGTCCCGGC